ACCAAACATCAGCTGCAGGTGTTGTTTTGCTTACGCGTTGGGTTATTTATTTAGATTTATACGTATGTAGATATATAGGAGACCTATGCCATTGGCGAAAATGCTGGCAAAATGGTATTAGAATTCATGCTGCATATTAAAGGCTCATGTTCTCTAAGTGTCATAAATATTAGTTGTAAATGCTTGCTAGGTAATTTGTACAAATCATAGGAGGTGTGTTCAGATCATTAATCCTTCATACAAGATATTTATACCGTGTAATCTTATGTTTAAAAATTCTTATCAGGAACACTATCGAGAGGTTTCCATACATATATACAGTAATTACAAAGGTTAACAAATTGAAACATTGTATCTTTCTCATTTGTATTGATAAATGTTGCATTGCAATTGTTTCCATTTTAATACATCATTTATTTTTAAAATAGGATTTGATTTGCCCTTGGTGTCGCAAGATATACTAAGGTCAATATTACAGATGATTAAATGTCTTTTACAAACTCATTTCTTAGTTGGATAATTTCTGACGCTGATCATCCCATCACATTTTTCTGCCTCTTCCTTATTTGTCAAGTTCCTTCCTCTACTTTCTCCTTCATTCGAAAATAATGATCTATTGATGACTACCTAAACAGTTGCAGTTGTAAGAGGGAGAAAGGAAATACTACCCACGCTTGCCGCGTGCCACCCTTACCTTAACACAGTGATCATATCATGTGAACTGAATCGTAAGACTGATAAACAAGAAGACGCAGAACACCCACAGACTAAAACCGAAATAAATTACACTAGTAATGTGTTTAAAAACGCGACAGACTTTACAGGGGTTAACTGCAGATATAATTTATGGAATAACAATCATAGGTCGCCAACTCGTAAACTGATAACACATGTCACTTCCATTTGTCCTTTTTCTAACATGCCATCGTGACAATGTTTTTTGGAAGCCCTCTGCCAAAAGGACAACAAACGTTCATGCCCACTCATTGTAAGTACAACTGTAAGGTACATGTGTATATCAATGGATGGGTGCGGTTTGACAGTAGGCAACAGGCCGTAACTCGCCACTCTGTATGTATCAAATATAGTCTGGAAGAGCTTAATATAAGGATGGGTTTGTTCTGCCCATTTCTTAACATTAGCACGGACCCCTTTTTCCCCTCAGTTGATTTTATCTGAATATAAGAATAGTTTGGGTTCAATTTCTCTGGCTTCCACAATTTGTAGCCATTAATATTAACATGTGGGGCAGTATTTCACGAACAAGTGAGCGAATTCATTCAGCTGAAGTCTTCGAACCAGCCCCCCACCCCCACAGACTAACAGAACCGTGCCCAGTGTAATTCTATCCTCTTTGAAGTATGGGATAAATTAACAACATCGCATTTGTTAAAGTTGTCTGTGTTGTTCCATCTCAGTGTGCAGAAGATACGCCATCTTTTTGTGCCTGAAGGATACAATAATCCACATATTGCACGTAATATTTGAGACTTTTGCATGTCGTGAAATCTGCTTTGCGAGCCCAGAATGTACATTGGCATTAAAAATTGCTCAATGAAAATATTTATGCAACAGTGATGATAAAAGATAACATAAATCCTCTGGAATAAATATCATGCGGTCTGAGATACCATGTTACAAACATTCTGACTGCACCGAATAGCGATTTTTTTATTGATTTGGTTTAAAGACTAGAGCTCGTATGTGTTTTATCACGAGCCTTAGGTCTAATCAAAGTAAGCAAAACCAGAGAAAATTTGTACTGTAATAGTTATTTGATTAACTCAATTGGATTCTACATTTGATCGGCTCAGTTAACAAGATATGGGAACTTTTCCTGCTACAAAACATGATTTTATGAGTTTTATCAGCAGTCCTTAAAACCACTGTAATCTGAACAAAATAAAACTATAAGAAAATGATTAAAGAATCTCAATTAAATGACGCTGGGTTCTTTCTATATTGTTGCAGTGACTATGGTGAATACAGTCCTGAAATTATAATCATATTATTGAACGATAGATCATGGGCAATATTCACCTATACCTTGGTTGACTTCATGTTATCTGGAAGTCTAAGAAATTATCATATTTAAAGAAGCCGTTAAAAAAATTTTAAAAATCTAAAAATATGACCACTCATCCGGCATTTTAACTGATTTCTAGACGTTGTTTATTCAGAGAAACGTATTCGAAACAATGGTGTTTAATCCCTTCTCCCATCCAATTAATTTCTGCCTTGTTCCCTACTTAAATTCTCTCAAAAAAATTAAGGAGGGACATTTTTGTTGCTTTCATACGATTTTCAAAACTAACGAGACAGCTAGCAAACGACGGAATGGAAAGCTTTAAACTACCCCCGGTAAACACAGATGTTGTCTAATGGTTGGACTCTGTAAAAGTTCTATCAAAATATCGCCCCCCTATAAAATCTTTTACATAAACGTATCAGAAATATGACGTTGATTTCTCCATCATGCGTTGACTAACTTTATTCAAAAATAAATTGAAATATGTGACAAGATTGATTGAGTAGAAATAAGATATTGTAAGGGTGCCATTGTTGGCAGTTGTTAAAACAAGCCTGCAGGGCTAACAAAAGGAGCGCTGTCGCTGTAAAGAGTGCGGTTTCTAGATTTGGAAAACTGGATAAAGACATTCTTCTCAGTCTTAGAGCACCGTCTCTCATATAGTAAGTTCATTGCTTACCTCGGCAAACCTGTTGAAGCACCCATTAAATGAATAGATTATCAGCCGCTGGCCTTACACACTGTCCACCATCAGCTCCTGTCTGCATTTCTGCTACAATGGTACTGAAATGCAATTGAATTTTTGTATTTGTCCCTCTCCCTCTCTCTCTCTCTCTCCCAACCCGGTGACCAAGGACAGAGGGTTTTTTTTTGGAGGGGGGAGCGGCTTTGCAGAGAAATAATACTGCTCTGTGGAGAAGTCGGCAAACGTGACTTTGAACTTGGATCAGCTCCTGTATTTCCTGCAGAGTAGCCCTGGATAAGTGAAAGAATAGCAGCAAGCACGATGCTGTGGCTCTTTAGACAGGAATTCGAGAATTAAAGCACCAAACAGATGATGATTGAGAAAGCAGTAAAAAGAGTATTACATGAATGCATGTTACAAACAGCTGCAGTGCCCGAATCAAACTTTATATACCATTATCCATAAAATGAAATCATTGTTTTGTTTACACTTTCCCAGAAACCTTCCGGTCTGGTTAAAGTTCCATACATTCTGTTCATCACAGATGAGGCGATGACATGTCTGAAAAATGCGGGGTCAGTACACAGTAGCATAAGGACAGATTTTGTAATTAACTATGGGTGATTTAGTAGCACACGGGATTATTTCCGTGACGTTTGGTTGTTTTTTTCCCTCTCTTGTTCCAGACCTGCCCTTTGATACAAACTGTTCCCTGAGCAAAAGAGATCCCATACCAGTGATTTCTTTTCTAAGCAGAACGAAAATGGTAACAAGTTGAAATATCAGGGCTTTTCGTTCAAGACTATAAGAAAATAGTGGGATTATTTGTACTTAAAATGTCCTTGCATTAATAAATGGTTTTATTTCACACCTTCCTATTGAAGCTTACCTTTTCAACGAAAATCTCATTTAAGCAGAAGAAAATACCGACAGCTTTTATTGCGAAAAATGAAGTGCAATTTAGTAGGTAGCAAATCGGATTAACCCCCTCCCCCTTTATTTCTGGCACAAACCTTCCTAAGCAACGCCTTGGAGAGAGAGGGGACAGGGTGGTCGAGGATTTTCTCACAGTTGAAATCTGATCAGAATTGGACATGTCTGTTTAACTGGTGTCAAATAATTTCAACCCAAAGCTTTCTGATGTTAAAAGTTACTTATCAAAAAAGTTATCCAATTAACATTGTTTTATGTACTTTGATTTTTTTAAAAAAATCCTCAATTCAGAAAGGATAGTGGGTTTGGGGGTGGGGGGGTGGTTGGGGGAGGTGTGGGAAGAGAACACGTATGGCATTGTGCACATTATATTCACCGCCAGTACCTCAAATTGATTACAAGTCGTTATAACGGATTTCGATGAACTTCTATCGCTTCGTAGCGAAAATGCAAAGTCGCTACCTACATGATGTGGAAAGGAGTGGCTCTGAAATGGCCGAACTGAAGGGGGTAAAAAAACAAATCAAAGTAGGCGTAATTAATGAAAAATGGCGATCTGTTTGGAGCAGGCTACCTGCGATGGATGAGGCGGAGCTGTCCAATGAAAAGCCATTAGAAAGTGCTCGCTGTCCTGTTTAAAAGGGGTGTTGGGAGAGGTGCCGTCATTGCAGTCAGTACTCGCACTCTGCATCATATGACAGCTGCGGGACCAGCTTAAGGTACCCCCCCCCCTTCTCACAACATACACTCCATCCCTTCCTCCCCCACCCCCACAACCCCTTCCCATTCCCTCCTCCCTCCCCACACATTCCTCGTAAGGATGCCCTTATCTCAACTCCTCATTTAACTGCCTTTCTGATCACCGCTATCGCCGACGACAGTGCATCTGCTCAAAGAGAGAGAAAGAGAAAGAGAAACAAATAGAGAGAGGAAGAGGCTTCAAAGAAGACGGTTCCTGCTCCGTGGGAATTGCTGCTGCAACAACTTCTACGTGATCGCAATAAAAACTGTACTAGAGGACACAGAGAGAGGAGAGAGAGAGAGAGAAAGTTGTACCTGATCGTTTGGCTCGATCTATTTTATCATCGCTTATTTATTTCTCAAGAAAGACAGAAACTGTGAAAAGAAAGAGGCGAAGATTTGGACTCGAGCTGTTGAATTCATGGACTGGTGCGTTTTGGCTTCTTGAGAAATCGCTCTCATCAACAATAACAAGAGGGGGAAAAAAGGAAGGCGTCTCTGAGTTGCTGCTTGATCCCTCTGCGTGCGTGTGTGTGTGTGTGTGTTGTGGTGTCGGTGGGTGGGGAGATCTCTGTGGCTTTCTCCCCTGCCTTTTTTTATATAGTGGAAAGCATGTTGCTCGATGCGGGACCCCAGTTCCCGAGCCTTGGGGTGGGCACATTCGCCAGGCACCATCACCACCATCACCACCACCACTCTGGCGCCGATATGTCCGACCGGGACCTCGGCTTGTCTCAGAACAGTTTCGTCGACTCGCCTCACATGGGAGCTTTCAAACTGAACGGCGGAGTCCACCACGACCTGTCGTCCCCGGGTCAGAGCTCGGCTTTCAGCTCGCAAGCGACAGCCGGGCCGGGCTACGCGGCCGCTTTGGCTCCTCACGCCGCTCATGTGAGCTCATACTCGGGCGCCGCTTTCAACTCCACCCGGGAGTTTCTGTTCCGGAGCCGCGGCTTCAGTGAGTCGAGCCCTGGCTCCAGCCAGCACGGGATCTTCGGGCCGAACCCGGGCAGCCTTCACTCCGAGCCTCCGGGACATCTCCTGTTCCCCGGGATTCATGAGCAAGGAGGATCCCACTCGTCTCCAAACGCGCACGTCCTCAACGGCCAGATGCGCCTGGGTCTACCCGGGGAAGTATTCGGCCGCTCGGATCAGTGTCCCAGGACTGACCCTTACTCGGCGGCTCAGCTCCACCACCCCAACTACAGCCACATGAACATGAATATGAGCATGAATATGGCAGCTCACCACCACCACGGCCCCGGAGCTTTCTTCAGGTATATGAGGCAGCCCATCAAACAGGAACTCATCTGCAAGTGGGTCGACCCCGAGCAGATGAGCAACCCCAAGAAATCGTGTAATAAAACTTTCAGCACCATGCATGAGCTGGTCACCCATGTCACGGTGGAGCACGTCGGAGGACCTGAGCAGACCAACCATGTCTGTTTCTGGGAGGACTGCACCCGGGACGGCAAACCTTTCAAAGCCAAATACAAACTGGTGAACCACATCAGGGTCCACACGGGAGAGAAACCGTTCCCTTGCCCTTTCCCCGGCTGCGGAAAAGTTTTCGCCAGGTCGGAGAACTTAAAGATCCACAAACGCACCCATACAGGTAACAAAAAAAAGCAATAATCCTCCCCCCCCCCCCCATGTCTCACCTTCCCCCATTCTCCAACCCCAGAGCCTCCACCGTGTCCCGGTTAGAAGAGAGCGCCGGTCCCTTTCTCATTCGCCTGTCATTTAACAGTTCATTCGTTTTTTTTTTCCAGCGTACATCTCAATCATTTATATCTTGCTAAGAGCACTGATATTAACCTTGCTGTGGCCGCTTTAACAAACTTCTCCAAGCCACTCCAGAAACACCCATTGTCGTCGCTCTGTCTCGTAGCAATACGAGAATAATTTAACTCTTTGGGTATTTTTTTTGAGGTGGGGTCATAGTTTGTAAATTATTTCGACACGTTTTAGCACCAAATTTGTTCACACTACTCTCCGATCCTTAATAATTAGAATCACACTGCACGCTCTAAAATGAAATTGCAAAAAATCCGCCGTAGTGGAGATTCAAGAAAAATACACATTTCACTAATTCTGGCCGCTTGATAGGAGCGAATTGAAAATGCAAAAGACGTGAAAAATTGCTTCGTGTTGTGTAGGAAAGCGGCCTCGAGCCACAAGTTGAACGTGGTTCGAGATAAACACATCCGCTGTTAGACAGTAGGAAAGGTTTGCTGAACGAATACTTTGTGAGTTATAATTTCTGCTACATTGCATAATATTTCTCTGGAGTGGGCAGAATTATGTCATCAGCAGCCGCCAGTATTTGGAGCAGAAACGTTGAATATGGGTCAGGATGTAATCTAAGGACAGAGGGTCCTGTGCTAAACGTGGCAGCCAGCTGAGAAATCAAACAGAGCTTCAACCGTGCGGCATGTATTATTTATCCTCATGTTTATACAGTATTTTCCAAATCACTGGCTCTTTAAAGGTGGTGGAAACAAAAGCGATAATTAATTAAGAAGTTTTTTTTTCAAAAATCGCAATAGCTATTTGCTTTTTGGAGAAGAGTGGTAACAGAATGCAAGACCCATTGTTCGCTCGATTGTATGATTAGTCATAGGTGTCAGACAAGTCTTTAGCAAGGTTTTCAACTGGGAAATTTATTTGCTTGGTGCGGCTATACTTCAGATTTCGAGGCGGTTTACATATCTTTTCGGAAACAATTTAAATGCTAATAGGGAAGGGGTAATGTTACATTCTTTACTCCGTATTCCTGTGTGATTCCCACCTCCTAGTTCCGTCAGTCTGTAAAATGCAAAGTTCAGACGAGAAATGCTCAGTGTTTCTGACACAAATGCCATTTTAACACACTCAGTGTATTCCCATAAATAAGAATATCCGGGGACTGGTTTAAAAAAAAGATCCCGACACGTGGAAACTAACGCGGTTAACTGAGACTGCTGTTGCTTAATCTTTGTTCGGTTATTTCATTTCTAGAATTCGTTTGGATCAATTAATTGAATTCACAGAATCCATTCTGCGAGTTGCAGCAGACTCTTTAATTACATTCTGCCATTGTGTAAACGCGATGAAGTATTTCCTTTCCCTGTGTTGCCATCAGCTGAGGAAGGCAGCTGCGAACCTTTTAATGTGACTATTTCCATTCAGAGAGAGGGACCGGAACAACACAGGACTTAGAAACCGAATACTTAGCACATTCACATTAATCACTCGAATCTAAATGCGAATCGAATCTAAACGCGAATCAATGTTGTCAAAAGTATTTCCGTCCACTGCTTAAGACTTCAATTTGGCTCATTTTGAACTTTTTTTTGGTTGTGATTAAGAATGTCAGGAACACCACTGTTATACATTGAAAGCTTCTAGATCTGGGTGCTTTGGGCGGCGTTGGACCTGAGAGAAATGAAAGCGGCGGAAGATTCAGGGGTGTGTGGTTTTGCTTGACTGATCCGTTTCTCCGTGCTATTTTTCCTGTCTAGGTGAAAAGCCATTTAAGTGCGAGTTTGAGAGCTGCGATAGGCGCTTCGCCAACAGCAGCGACAGAAAGAAGCACATGCATGTGCACACTTCAGACAAACCCTATCTGTGTAAAATGTGTGACAAGTCCTACACACATCCCAGTTCTCTAAGGAAACATATGAAGGTCATTACTTTTCAATATTTATATTGCGAAAAATTACTTGTGTTCAATATGATTGGGTTCTGCTGTTTACAAAGGACTAATTGGATATTTCCCCCGTCCCATTCTCCCCAACTTTTTTAAACTTGTTTTTTTAAGGTGCACGAATCGTCACAAGGTTCGGAGTCCTCACCGGCAGCCAGCTCTGGTTATGAATCGTCTACTCCTCCGGTCCTGGTTTCTCCGTCCACCGACCCCCAAAACAGCAATAATTTATCTCCTGCCTCGTCTGCGGTGCACACTAGCGCCGGCATTCCTTCCAACTTCAATGAATGGTACGTTTAAAGAGCAAAGAAACACAAACACACACACACACACACACACACACACATATATATCCACACAAAAAGACTACAGGCCTCCAACTCGGGAGATCGGCGTCAGTGCTAACGTAACGTTAAAAACAAAATGTAAAAAACAAACTTACTCCAAGATCTGTGAATGGGAAACGGAGAACACTATAATCCTTCCCTACAAGCAATATCCAATTCCAGAGATTTTGCAGAGGTGAACATCAGCATTATTTATATCTTACTGAATGAACCTTTTGACTACTTTTCCAACTTGGAACACAGAGAGTTGCAGCCTGTTAGTTGAACTGTACCTGGAATCCTTGATGAAATACATTTATTCTGCGGTGACTATGGATAAATTTCCTGAGGAGACATGACATTTCCAGATTGCGCACAAAATGGAAGCGTGAAGGACACAGAAAATGATTTCCTTGTCGCTGTGTTTTAATGCTGAGATTTATGTCACCTTTCTTTCAGGGCGACCGACTGTAGGATCTTCATGCAATTCTATAGAGTGAAACCTGTGCCAAAGTCAAGTTGCAGTTCACAAACACACACAAAAATGCAATTAATTGCTTGTGAATGTATTTTTTTCCTCTCTGTTAGCTGGGTTTTTAAATCTTGTGACGTTTTGTGCTTTGCCAGTTTTAATTGTGAAATGCTCTTGGAAGATTGTGAAAAAACAAAGGTTGTGCCGTTAATTTTGTAACAACAAATACTCATTCTGTAAATATCCGCGTTGCCATATTTATCCCATTTGTAATTAAATTATGGTATTAACTTGCTACACATGAAACAATATTTATAAAGAATGTTTCTTAACTATAAATATGTACAATTGTGAGTTAAACATGAGAGTGTTCAGATGGCTTTGTTTTAATTTCTAGATAAAGCTACGTTTTCCCTTTATGTGCGATGTTCTGAGATCATTAACAGCATACAAATAAATAATAAAACATGTTGCCAGTGGATTTGCTGAAATCGTTATTATTGAACTCCAAATACATCCTCATTGATGTTTATCTGTGTCACATTTGTTGAAATTCATCCCAGCCGAATTGTTCAAGGTTTCTTCACAATAATGTTGGGCCCTTTTTGGTTGGGGTGTGGTGGTGAAGGATGAAATAGTTTACTTAAATCCGCAGGGAAGACAACCACTTTAGTTGCAGCGCCTACAATATTTGAGGCAGATTTGGTTTTGATTGTGTACGTGTGCAGAGTAAATATTCAGGCAATTTTTCACAGCAGTGATTGGCAGATGATTCGCATGCGATGCTTAGAAACGATTAATCGAGTTGTTTTCTTTCGTCTGGGTTTCTTGTGCGCTGAAGGTGGGACCAGCAAAGTTAAAGAAAGCAGCAAGTCGGACAGTCTTGTGAAACTTTCATTTGGGGGCTTATCTGCGGGGGTGGATGGTGTGGGTCGGAATTGGAGGCGAGTAGTCGATGTTAATTAGTTGCTGCGTATGGGATTGGTAAAACTCAAAAAAAGTGCAGACAATTCAATGGAAACCGAGGTAGAATTCATTAACGCGCAGTCACGGACCTGACACGTGTGAGAGGTGTTTTCCTTTGCATTTTGAATGACCGCGAGAACCAGGCGCTTATTTGAATGCCAGGATGGGGGAGGCTACAAAAACTCTCTGCACATACGTACACGCACAAACACACACACACACAAAATCTGATTGAAAACTGCATCTGCTACTTGGTATGCTGTGTGGATTGAAAATATGAAATTTATTTCCTAACTAACTCGAACAGAAAAATAAAACGTCCAATTTATAAAGGCATTGCAATGGCAGCAGCTTGCGGGGCAGACATAAACAAAAATGCGGAAATATTCTGGCTTTTTTTGTCTCTGTGCACAACTCAAAATGAAAAGCGAAACCCTCGCGGCTCCTCTACGCCGTTAGATGAGCGAAAAAGTTCAGTTCTATCAGTTAGAATGAAGTAACTTTAAAAATCAAACCACTGGAAAAGAATAGCACAAAAGATACACAAAATAAGGAAATGTGATTACATCCACCCGGATTTATTATGCAGCAAGGAGTGAGTGACTAAATCCAATTTTTTTTTGCCAAAACATGAAAACAAAATTTTGGAGCGACCAAAATTCGACCGGATTGATTTGGCTTAAAAAATTTAGTGGCCTGTGTGAATGTTATATGAGCCGAACCACAAACCCAGGCAAAGCGGCGCCTTTTTCTAACGAAGGAAGAACTTGAACTTGACTTTGCGTCACTTGCACTCGGTTCTGGTTCATTGTTTACAGCTCTTGCTCCATGTTACAACATGAAACACCGTTTTCAGGAGTCGTCTCTATTTTTCCCCTGCCCTTGCTATCTTGCACGTTAGTGGCGTTCCCGTTACCGATTTCAACGAGGCTCTAATGGAGATGACTTACAGAAGTGAATTCCACAGAATGGCCATCTAAAAAAACCCCTCACGTCTCGCCTCTCATAGTCACCAAATAAATATTTTGAGAATATGCCAAGACGAACTTGAAATACTGTGAAATGTAAGTACCATCTTGTACCGTTAGCTTCGATTTCTGATTTCGTGGAACATTTATAACTATGCACCAAATGGATAGTTTTTTTTGGCGAATTATGTTTTGGAAATTTGATAGGGACACGTTCAAATTAAAAAAATAATTTTAGAAGGGACTGCTCGCGTGTTATTTCCAGCTCCATATCTCAAAACAAAATCATCAGGAATATAGTTACAAATTCCATGCTATCTATTACAATGGCACATTGTTTACCTAAGGAGTTACTATTATTAATGAAAGTGGATATATATAGTCAGTGAAGTTTTACATATAAATAGACCTCGAGGTTTGAATGAGTCCAAAGGAAAAACGTGTTCAAGTTGCAATATGTGGTCATAATACCCCAAAGTCAGCAGAGTGATGATAGTATTGAAACAACGTTATGATATAATCTTATAAAAAGACCGTTAAATGGTCTATAAATTACAGATAGGGACCCACCTGAGGGCACAGTGACTGCTGTATTGATAATTACAGGGGGATATTGCGAGTCACTGTCACTCGAAATGGCAGCTCATAAATTATAAAGCTGCTCCAATAAACATTCAATTGTAGCCTTCAAATCGGCAGATTTTATGGTACCATTCAAAGTTATAAGACAATTTTAAGAGATAATTCAATTGACCCTGCTATTAATGATTAACAATACCGCGATGACGTTACAGTAAGGACCACAATTGAAGCTGTGGGTTGGAATAGATGTGTTTATATCCTGCGGTTGAATATATTGCGTTCTACCATAAATTCGAGAGAGCTACAAACAAGAAACAGACATTTAAAAAAATGTAAATTCAAAACAAATTCTGCATGTGCATATTTTTGAAAAAATACTCTTCAATGTTGTAATCTTGCGGTACACCAATCAGAGCGGAATAGAGAGCGTAATTTACTAATCGTGGATTAAGTTTTTGACGTTCAGTGCGTCCTCATTTTGTTCGTTAACGGGAATAAAGGTTAAGAATAGGAGAGCGTGTATTCGCTGTGAAAACATAATTTCTCAGTATATCGTGGTACATGTGCTTCCTCAGCCGTCAGGACAGGAAACAAATCTGTCAGGAAATTGGAATCTCCGTGCATCAGTGCTGTAAATTGTAGCACCTGGACAAAGCAGAAACAGCAAGTCCTCAATATTACACGTACAAATACACACCTGTCATACATTTATTAATTTCCCTAAAACAAGATGATTACAGGCGCAATATTTACCTTCGCAAATGTAAAAAAAAGCACATCTTCATGTCTGTAATTGGTCACAACCAAATCAATAGCGGTTTGAAAGTTGGGCACATCCTGATCGATAATACAATTTATTGGCAAGGTAGACGCTAAAGTTACAACATTGACGGCAATCTTTGAAATTCTAAGTACCCTCTAGTGTTCGCGTAATGTTTAAGGAATCATTTTAGTTATTTTTATCCATATTCCCAGTTCTACGCGTTACTTACTTCATTAATTAACTTAACAATAAACTAATCAGCACATTTATTAGGGGATTAGCGCTGGTTCATTCCGTTTTACATTAATGGTTTAACATGCATTTACGTCGATCAAAGTGTGTGAGTGGGAGTAATTTGGTTACTTAAGTTTCACCAATTAAAATGGTCACAGGCTTGTGTTCGTTAGCGTGCAAATTATTTTCATTGGAAGATAAATTAATCTCTTTGACTGCTCTATTACACAATCACCACTCGTTAATTAAAATGTGACAGAAGTTCGTCTGGGAAAAAAATATTACTCTCTGTTAATAACTTGACTTAAAAATAACACGCCTTTTTTTTCAAAAGGGGGAAAACTGTCCACTATCTCCTCTATCAGTCCAGCTGCAGAGAAAATTAAGAGACGCAAAAATAATTATGAAGATGAACATGCTGATAATGCTGATGGCGAATTTCATGATGATGATTTGACAACTACAGTAAGGGTCAGAGGACAGCACCATACGGTGTCCAGATATCTGCTCATTTCTGACACACGCTGTTATGATATCGATCCGAGATAGAAAGTGAACACAAAAGCTATACTGCTGGAGGTGGATACAGATTCTGACGATTTTAAATGTTAGTGGAGCGTTACTTTATCCGAAAGTATTATTGATTAAACAATCTCTTGCAGCGATTGTTTCAGATTTCTGTTTTCTTTCTTGTATTGGTATTATCCTCCTAACACTAATTGTAAGTGTATTTTAAACTTCCCATTTGTAACCACACTTCAACACTCGACACAAGACTCAAAAAGTGTGAGGTACATGGTATAATGAGTATTATTGTACGCACTTGGGCGCAGTTCTGGGAATTCCTACACCATCCAAACATAATACTTTGTATTGTGCTGCACTGTGTGAACTGGTACCGGTGTAAATATTAAATACAAATTCTGCAACAAGTACATTTGTAGTTTTTGGAAATCAGTTCTGTAAATTATTCTACAATTCGAATGTTG